TCAATAAAACAAATCATGGTATGAGTTTTTGCTTATGTAAGTATAGTATTTCTTTTTTAGTCGGAGACATTCACATCATAGTTGGAATTATGTAGRCATATGGATTTTTTATGAGTGGATAAAGTGGCATATTAATCATTGAAGAAACAGTTTAACATTGTCAATTTTTTTCACATATTTTTTTTAATGATTTTGGACCAATTACAAAGTTTGATATGATAAAAGATCGATATATAAAAATTATTATATATATATATACATTAAAAAAACAACCAATAATTATAAGGTGGATTCATATATCAAAAGTAATATTAATTTTTATTAATTTAATATATAAATGTGATTATCGACTCATTTAATTAACTTCAATAATTTAAAAATATATTATCATCGCGCAACGCACGCAATCAAAAACTAGTATGGGAAAGTATGAAACACCGCCAACGAAAACTTTTTCCTTTTTCACTTATTTTTTTGTCAGATGATACTTTTTCTCCATGTACTTTTTTTAAGGGCGGGCTAATTGCACCTTAACCGTTACTTTTTTTTGTTTCTTTATCTTTTTATCCTTGTTTTTTGCTTTTATGGTATATTAAATTTTAATTAAATAAATTATCAATTTTTTCTTTACTTTTCTCTTTATTTTTATTAATATGGATTATTAATAAAAAATAATTGCAGATTAAATAAAATATATTTAATAATATGATTAAAACTCAAAAATATTAACACATTAGACTTATTTTAAATGTATTGACGAGATGATTATAATAATGTAGTTTGTAAAAAAAAACATGTCTTTTGAGTTATTTTAGTTAATGTATGACTATGTGTGTTAATATAATAAAGATATAAAATGAAAAATAAAAAATAAAAAATAAAAAAGATAAGTGATATAAAGTAAATTAAATAACTAATTATAATGATATAAAGTGTAAATATTTTTTAACTCGTTTGAAAACTTTACGCAAAAAAAGTGGCGTAAAAACCATTTTCCTTACATAGAGTGTCTTTTTATGTGTAAAGAATTGTTTTCAAATTCTTTTTTTTTTTGTTTCGAAAAAAACTTTTTGTAAAAAAATATTATTAAACTTTGACTATTTAAAAAAAAATTCCTTATACAACTAAAAAGTGAAATTATTTCGATGGATTGGTTATTTTTATAAAATTTCCTCCAACTTTATCGTTACTTTTTTGTTTTTTTAATTTATAATCCTTTTTGTTATTTTTAATTTATTTATATTAAATTTTAATTAA